CAGACCCGCTTCCTAATACCTTATTAGCCCTCACACCCATCAGAACTTTTTCCTTGGCCTCAAATTCCCACTCCTCATCTTTCCTAGTGTATCCTCTCTGAGATGGACAGAAACAAACCCTTCATATTTTGCTTGTGAGGTGTATAGAATAAAAATCAGATAGTAAGAACTCAGAGTGATGTCGTTGAATACTAGATGATTCCCCTTACATAAATACTTTCACATATTATCTTTTTACATCCCCACCAAAAGCAAATGGAATAGATCATTCTATTCTTCCTATTATACAAAGGAGGAAACAAAAAGGCTTGATGAAACTCCGTCAGTAGCAGAGTGGGATCTGACGCTGTGACAGTCTGATGCTAGAGCTTGTGTTAATTGCAATGTCTGTGACCATATGCCTCTCCTTGCTCCTTCATGCACATGAAAAACGTGTATTCCATCCAGACATGCTTGTTGCTGTATTATTGTTAACAGTATTATAGTACTGTCGTCACTTGGTGATTAGGAAAAGAGATGTTTGACTCCTTTGAAAATGTCATTCCTTCCCCTACCAGAAGTATGCCATTACTCTTGATGACACAAACACACATGCATGTATAAACCAGGGCAGACAGACTAGGACTATGGATGGGAAGAAATCTGGATACAAATGAATTGCCTGTTGGTGAAGAAGCCCAGGAAAAAGAATATATTTGGTTGACTTTTTACTCCCAGAGCATTTATACAGAATAAGCAGCAGAATTAGTTTTTAAAATCTAATTATTCAAAGAGGCAATTGATTAGCACACGCTCTCTGAGTTGTGTACAGATCACGAGCTTGGCTTAGAAACAATGACTTACAGATATTTACTTATTACCTGGACATCCTCTCCTATTTATGCAAATGTTCCTCTTTGCTTTTTGGCTAATATTGTAGTAAAGCTACCAGTTCATTGTAGTATATGAGCTTTTTGACAGTTGGGACACACAGTCCCTAATGGTGACCACTGGTTCAGTGTAGGATCATGTGCTTTATGGAAATTCAACTATTTTTACTTTGCTTTGTTTTGATAACTGAATGAACTACCTCCATTTTATCAATGTAAAGACCTCATTGCAAGTAGTCAGAGTGGAGGAGCCAAATGAAGAACAAAGCAGATGAATAGCACAAATGTTACTTGGGCTCAGGGACGAGACACAGAAGGGAAGGTGTTTTTACTACGTATGTTTCTAACTTTGCAGTCCAGATTATTAGAAAACTTGATCATTTTAACTTGACAATCACACAACCCTCAGGATGAGTTATATGTGCAACAGGGTCTCAGGAAAGACCATGATGTGGTAAGCAAAAGCTTGATTTGGGCATATGAAAGCTAATGCGACACAGAGATTAGGGTTGGCTTTTATAAGTGATCTGTTAAAAGGTCTATTTCTGAGGAATAAAATCTGAACCTGGTTTACTTGAACTTGTGGTTATAACGTCTGGTGAAACTACAAGTTTTAAATTACTTATCATCCAAAGGAGAACGCTGCCTGCTAATCAAGTTCAATAGCAGCTAATTAAAATAGCAGGGTGTTTTATTTGGTAAGCCTTTGTGGGTTAAGAAAGTCAATCAACTCTCATCTCTGGTGTCACTTCCCCTCTACCATCTGAGGAGCACCTTGTACAACACGCGCGATCATCTTCGGTAAACATAAGCCCATATCGGGGAGGTATTACATCTGAGGATATAAAAACATAGTGTCTTCACTAGCATTTTTTCTCACACAGGTTGAGAAACATTAAATATACTTCCCTCAGTGTATCAAGTAGAGCCAGGAGTAGAACAGGTGCCCAATAAAAATGGGTTGAAATCGGTGAATGAATCTTCAGCTCTCAACCTCAAAGCCAAAATACGTTGACAAATTTATTTCACTGTCGTTCTAGATTTGGGATTCTAGTCCCCTAAATCTAAAAGAAAATTAGGTCCAGTTTGGTCCCCATTGTGCTGCATAGGATTGTAGAATAACATGGAAAATTGTCTTATTGTTTACCTAGCTTGAAATAACGATGAGCATCGTAAAAATACTAGACCATACCCCAAACAAAAGGGAATAGAAAGTGACGGGTTGCCCAGAGAAAACATCCACTCATGCTATGCAGGCGGAAGCCGAGGTCTAGAGCTGAAGGAAGAGAAGCTTATCCAGGGTCTCACATGCCCTTTGTCTTCAGATCAAATTACGATTTTAGATTGCCTTTGGTTTCTGGTTCTGGCCATCTGCTTCCTGCACACACCATACCAGAAAGCTTGACCTCTGCTCTGCCCACAAATGTCAAATTTTACAGAACTTACAAATACCAACTACCAAAAGGAGGAGTTGCACCTTCGGATATGAAAAAATAAACTTATAGATAAAAGTAAGTACTTAAGTATTTCTTCTTAGATAGAAGGGAGGGCAAGGAGGGTAGAAAGAAAAAAGGGGGAGAAACGAAGGGAAAGAAACATATGACAATGATAAATTTGCTCACATTTGATGTCATTCAAGGTAAATAACTTTTATTGTATGTGCTACTTTTAAGATTGACATTGAAAAAGATAAATCCTTACATGCAAAATTTAAAAAGTGGAAGGAACAAACCATATAGCAAAGTTCTGGACTGAAAAAACATGATTTATTCACGCTAATCAACGGGACTCTAATTATAGCTGGTATGTCTATCACTGCTATTGCATTGTCTCTCTAATTTCTTTTTCATATGGAAAGCAAAGAAGCCAAAAATACCCATCTTACCTAGTACCCAGTACCAATATTCTGACTCCTTTGGCCCTCTGATCCCAACTCGGTTTAGGCTTCTCATTTTGCCCAATCTGGTTTTGGATCCCGCTATACTTTGGGATCCTGCTATGTGGGTAAGCATGTGAAGGCAAAAACCATATCTATCACCATTATTTCCCCTCCTCCTAGCACAAAGATGGAAACCATGTTGGTGCTAAGCAAACACCTGCTGGGCAAGGGTATTTTTTGTAGACTGTCAGGAAAACTTGAGGCCAAATAGCACAGGCATACAAAGCAAGCTTAGCCAGGCCTAGCTACTGTTCATAAGACTCTAGTGTCTGCTAAACAATTAGCTTTATCCTCTCCTTGTCTTTCCCCCTCTATCTTGGTATCTTTGTCACCTCTGATGGTTTCCATTACACCCTTACAATGTTGCCTTCTTTGCAGTTTTACTTTGGCCTTTGTACTACCCCCACCATCCTGAGTGTGCCCACATTTAATTTCCTACTACTAACTCCTCTTTCATTCTGAGCAAAATTTTCCCATTTCCATGTGCCTGAAGGAAACCTGCCTTTGGCTGTGGTTTCTACCTGCCATTAAATACGGTTTCCTTGGCAATCCAAGTTTTCCTAGCTTCCCATTGGGGACAAGGCCTAGAACCTTCCTTCCAATTCTTCAGACCTCTAATCTTTGGACTGGTCTTTGAGCTTCCCCCACCCCTATAACTCTTCCTATGAAGATTGCCACATATAATCTGTTTTCATTTCTGTATTTACTGCCCTGATACAGGCCTTCATGAGTGTATGGCCAGTACGAAGTCTTCCATGGCTGGTATCGCCAAATTCTAGTGCATAATCATCTGTTGCTATCTAGTTATTGACCGACAACTCTCTCCTACATAAGTTCACCGCACATAACTCCCGTGCTAGGGCTTCGCCTGTCTTCTTCTAACGTGAAATGCATGCCTCCAGGAGATCCAGGATGAGCACCCTCTCCCTCAAGCACTTAGCCGGAATGTGGTAACAGGATTCTTATTTCCTACCCTGAGCTTTTGCCGTCTTGTCTTTACCTACAAAACTACCTTTACTCTTCATCTGCACCATCACTGTTCATAATAGTTTAATACTTGAAGAAGCTCTTCCTTATCTGCTTTATTTCAGGATGATCGCTGTCTCTCCTTCTCTTGGCGTCAAAAATAAATCCTTGCTGAACTGTTACACTGTTTGCTACTTGATGTGCTAACAGTCAACAATAACAAGAAGAATAACAAGAACAAGAATAGCTAAAATTTTTGGAAAGCCGAGTGTGTGCTTTCCAAGAGATGGCAATCACTGTTCACAAAGCCACACATATGTGCATAGACATACCATGAAGGGCAGCCCACTCTAGCCAGCTTAGTCAAGGACAGTCATTTCATTTGGTTCTTTTTCATTCTCCACACAAATATGGAGAAGACAGGGCCTTGACACTTTTGTGAGTTTCCAGTTTTGTGCTGCAAGATCTCCAAGGGATTACCATCTTGGCAGTTGAGCTTTGGGATTACTGGAAAGCAAAACTGACTGGCTTTGAAAATTACCGTTTAGCATTTTTCCTCCAGTGAACAAAAGAACATCTGACTTACACTACCTTAACTGCCACTGTCCTCTGCTCTGAGGTTTAACCTTAAAATATGTGTTTATGTCCCATGCTTGACAGGCCAATGCTCAATTTCCCCCAAACTATTCTCAAGGTCACTGCCATGGAGGGCTCTCACAGCATCTCACAGCATGACAGCCTCTGCTACAGCCTGACTGCGCAGCTGCATCATCCATGGCTCTCAGCCTACAGTGTAGATGACCGAACCTGGATGTTTTTTTAATAAGGATAACAACTTCTCACAAGAGTCTTCCGGGGGCTTTTTGCCTTCCTATTTTTATGCTGAAGACTCCTCCCGTTTTCTAGTAGGTTTTTTCTTTGCAATACGATAATTCTGTTTTAACCATTAGTCACATATGGCCTCTGTCATTTAAAAATCTTAATGCGAAAGGCATGGGCTTAACACAACCACTGCCTGTTCCTGAATTTCTCTTCCTAGATCATTATTTTTCTTCTTTTTCATGTAGAAATGTACAGTCTGAATAATCGGCGAGATTTTTGGTCACTACTTTGGCAAACAGAATGGTGTGCAGCCACATGTAGCCTTTCTGGGAAAACAACCTGCAGGATTTGAAAGCAACATTGCTAATGACAGAATGCAAGAGGTGTTGGATCTGGCGCCTTACCTTTCTGCTTCCAGCCGCATCTCCTCTCTCTTTTGCCTCCTAAGTTCTCTGCGACGTTCAAAATCGTCCATGGTGAGGTTTCAGGATGAGGATGACCAGATCCCGTCTGGGTCTGCAGGAAAGGAGCTACATCAGTAATCCAGCTGGCACTTCTTAGAAATTACTTACTCTTCCCACTCCTGGATTCCACTCCCCTTCCTTTTTTTGTTTACCCCTAAAAAAAAAAAATTCCTGAGAATACCAGTAAGGGAGCCAGTGATCAATTTCTGAGTGCTCAGCAGAATCATGTTCAGTCTTAGTCATGAAACTTGAAAAACAGACAAGTAAGAGCATGGGGTAACACACACACACACACACACACACACACACACGCTTTTAACAAGAGACAAAAAGGCTTGGATACATGGAAATATTTTGGTGAAAGCTCTTGAGCGGAGCTACTGGATCATTTTGTTGGTTGTAGCTTGCTGAACTCCAGACAAAATGATGAGAAAGTGAAGAAAGAGAAACAGGAGTGAAAAACACAAGTGGCAAGAAACACGGGAGCAAGAAAAAAAGAGAGAGAGAGAGAGAAAAGAAAATAGTACAAGTGTCGTTTGCATATTCCAAGAATATTAGCCTCAGGGTTTAATAAAGAGCTCAGCAAGGATACCCTGAAAAGAGCAGCATTTCCAAAGCAGTAAAACTGCACTCCAGAAGTCCCTCGGAGCTCAGAAATTCCAGCTCTTTCTAAGATGTAGTGCGACCGCTTCGCCCTTTCCTACCTCCTCTGGGGTGCCTTTAATTCCCGTAAGATCGCCCCCTCTCAGTTCTTCAAACGAGGAGCCTGTTTGTCCTGGGTTTCTGTGCCATGGTGTTGAGTATTCCAGAATTCCCCCTGCAGCCCCCCAAACCCAAAATGACTACCAGCAAAGGGGAAGCGGGCTCTTTTTGTCCTTGCTTTGTTTACAGAGCTGTCAGTGGTTCGTTAAACTCAGCCTGGAATCTGGCATTTAAGGCCTGCTTGAAGATTGCTTCCTGTGGGGAGGGGGGGTGGGCTACACTTCCTCTGGAATCTTAGAGTGCTGCAATCAGATCACAACAATATTTTCCAGCCCTTTCTGGGCACATGAGACGAATCATTTGGCAGAAAAATATGAAGGTGGGCAAAACCTGAAGCTAACACCTGACGCCATCTTTCTTTGAAGGACCAAACAGCACGAACTTGGATTTTGGATCAAGTTTGGAAACTTTAAATACGTTATCAAGCTGTTTCATTTTTTTTTTCCAAGGGTGTTTCTCTTTTCAAAAATTCCACGAAAACAAAAATAGAACCCTAGCCAACAAAAACAAAACTACACAATGTTTTAATTTTTTTTTTCCTTTTCCTTCTCCTCCAGGGTATTAATTACACCACTTCTAAAAGTTTAAAAATTCAAATAGAGTTGGTTATTTGGGGTTTCAACATTTGATCTGCTTTCCTGTCTTATCCAGGATACCTCCCAAGACTTTACTGCGTAGGAAAGAGCGAGCCAATGGTCCTTTTTATTATCTCGTGTCTGATCTCGCTGTAATAATCAGAAGGAGCGACAGCAGCGGCTGGGTCCCCTGGAAGAGGCTGTCTGAGGGCTCTGTCAGGTGGGGCAGGTTCCTGCTCTGATGAGGGACTCTGTGGGTAGGAGGGACTAGGGCCTGATGCAGGGAGAATCTGAGCCCTTCCCGTCCCCCTCTACAATCTTCTTGCATAGCTGTAGCAACAGCAGACAGACATGGGAGAAAGAGGTCCATCTGCAGGTGCTACACGGCTTGGAGCGCATCCTGTGGGCTCCGGGTCTTGATCTTAGCACTTCTAAGGAGCATCGCTAACTGCTGGTCAGCAGCCATAGGTCCCTGGCTGTGGGTCTCTTCTAGGCGCTAAGGAGCAGTGAGGAAAATATAACCGCACAGGCGCAAGATGCGCAGGGATTTCATACCTGGGAATGAGAGAGGAAAGGAGGAAGGGAAAAGGAGGGCAGGAAGGGGAGGGGATGAGGTGGGGAATAGTGGGGAAAAGAGGGAAGGAGAGGGGAGAGGAGGGGAGGGGAACGGAGAGCAGGGGAGGGGAGCGGAGGGGAGAGGAGAAATGAGAACGGACACTGCTGAAACCCTGTGGTCCCTGTGCTTGGCTGTCCTCCCTGGCTCCTGACCCACACAATTTTTTTTTCTTCTACTGCTCCTCTCTTCCTGTTCTTTGGCTTTCATTACTCAAGCACATTTTTTTTTCTTTCCCAACCACAGAAAAAATAGTTACCATGTGAATGCTGCTGAGTTTGCACCTGGAGGCACTCAGTGGAAGAGAGAGAGAGAGAGAGACAGAGGAGCAAGTGGTGTTTGCCACATCCCATTTCTGACTTAGGCTTTGTGGGTATGTGGTGGGAGTAGCTGAGGGAGAGGGGAGGAGAGAAACACATCTGTGCACAGTGTGTGTGTGTGTGTGTGTCTGTGTGTGTGTGTGTGTTTCTGCTACAGGAGAGAGAAGGTGTGTGTGAAAAATGGCTCTTAGCTAGTCTCAAAGCAGGATGGCCTACGTCTGCCTTCAGCCCACACTGCCCTATCCCACTGCTATCTAGGCACTGTTCCTAGGTAAGTGGAGCTGGGTCTAGATAGAAGTCTAAGTGGTTTCTTTCTCCCTCTTTTGGGACCAGCAGCTTCCATGTCCCCAGCCAGTCACCCCTCATTTCCTTTCCTATCCCCCAGCCAGTGCTGAATTCCTTCCAGCGATATTTGTTGGGAAACAAACCCTCAACCAATGAGGTGATGGAATGTCAAGACAGGGAGATTTTTTTAGATCTTGAAGCTGTGTGGTGTCACAAGCAGGCAGAGCAGCATGGGGGTCAAGGACAGGTGGAAGAGGGTTTGTGGAGGAGGCAGATGTGGTCCTGAGCAGTGCTATCAATGTGATCACAGTTTTAGCAGAGGAGAGCAACCTGGTCATGCTGGGTTCTTATCTGTTCTTTAAGATATATATTTTAAATTTTAAAAAAACAGAGTTACAGAGAGATGTGCTTTCTTGTTCAGTCCCCAAATGGCCATCGTTGGGCTGGTCTGAAGCCAGAAAGTTCTTCCATGTCTCCCACAGGGGTGCTGGGCATAACACACTTCTTTCCCAGACACATGACAGGAAGCTGGATTGGAAGTGCTGCAACCAGGACTGAAAAGTGGCACCCAAATGGGATGTTGGCACCACAGGCAGTTACTCTACACGCTATGCCATAGCCCCGGCCCTGTGCTCATTCGAATTGAAAGAACTCTGATGTGACTCATTTTTAAAGTGGAAAAAAACAAAAACCCAAAACTTTGCAAAGGTAGATAAATCATTACCTGCCGATCTTTCTCTGTAACAGGAATTCTCATATGTTGAACTGTCTTAAAAAACCCAGTGTTCCAACTCAGTATGTGGTCCTTCCTTTTGCCAGTCACTTGCAAAGCCTATGGCCTAGGTGACACACAATGTGATGGGAGATGCATCCTGTGTTTCGGCACCATGTTAGAGCTTCTGAGCCTCGGGCTCATCCATCCAGTCCTGCTGCCTCTCCTTCTCCACTTCTTTCTAGTCTTTTTCTTCTGCTATTTCTTTATTTTTCTCTATCTCCGTCATATCCTGTTTTCTCCTCCATCTCCCTCCCTACATTGGCAAGTAAAGCACATTTGTATTTATGAAATTAGATTTTTGATTCTTTTACTTAGAACACGTAGTTCCATCTCCAAACTGTGTTTTTCAGCCAAGAAATCTGTTAATGGCACGTTTCGTATCCACAAAGTGATTGTGGTTGCTTTCTCTGTGAGCATGCGGCCCTCACTGTAGACATTTCCTGTGCCTCATCCACAGAGAATAAATTTGTTTTTGCTTTTATGTGCAGGTGGTGGCAGGTAAGGAGCCCTTACACAGGTGTGTGTATGTGTTGGGAGAGTGGATTCACACGTGCATACTGGAGAAGTTGGTGAACTGTGGGCTTTCCCTGATTGCGAGGGAGCAAGGCCGTGGAGACAACGTTCAATCCTCTCTGTTTTTGAGTCATCCTAAATGGAATGGAGCGTGGGGATGAACGGAGTCCGCAGGAGTTTTAGTCCATCCCAATATTGATCTTGGAATGCATCAGGAATAAACCCTGTTGTGTCAGGAATGCTGAATAAGTTCAAGCAGCTTCCAACAGTAACTAACATCTGTTGAATATGTACCATGTAGTGGGTCATTTTCAAACTCTTTAAAAATGTAACTAACAGAGTAATTCTTAGAGTGGAGCAGAAAGGTACAGAGTTCCCAGACTTCTTTCTGTATCATATAAATTTAGGAAAGAAATCATCTTAAGGGTACTCCACGCCTTCCGTTTCAAACTTATTTGATTTAAATCATGGAATTAGCTAGCCACAAAAGATTTCAATTAAATTTACTTTCCAAATATTTATGAGATTCTATTATGATACTGTTGCTGCCTTACAAGTTTCATAAATGAGGGAGTCATATCCTCAATAGCTTCATTATCTTTCTTTTGATATTGTGTCATTTCTTCTCTTATATTGTACCTTCCTTAATTGCACTCTTTTAACCCACTTCATCATCACCCTCAACATAACTAATTCTTGGCAATTGCAATGAACACTTGTCTTCCAACACTTATGGAAGTTATTAGGTTCTTTGTAGGCATCATTTTGTACCCACTGTCAATTGCATGAAAGCTTTTAGCAAACCAAGTATTCAGTAAGTAGTAACTCAACGGCTACTATAAGCCAGGTAATGTTTGGGGACCAGGTGTTAGTGGACACAACAGAAGAGAGCTTTACCGTCCCCAAATTCTCCAAACTTCTATCAAGCTGCTATGGTTTGCTGCTGTGGGATCTCTCCTGCCAAGGGCTCCTATGTTAGAATCTTGGTCCCTAGCATATTAAGAATTACTAGAACCTGTACATGGTTAGGAACATCATTTGATCTGACCCTGCCCAGGCAACTGCAGGCAGGACTTTCAATTCAATCCATCTCTAGCAGGTTGATGTTTACGTTGATAATTTTACGTGGCCCTAAATGATGTTAGTAACTATTGAAATGGTCTTGTTCCCATCCCTGTTTCAAGAGGTGGGGACTAATGGGAGGTCATT